AGCGGGTCCAGAGGAGGGCCATGAAAATGATCCAGGGGCTGGAAGACCTGTCCTATGAAGAAAGGCTGAGATAATTAGGGTTGGAGAAGAAAAGGCTCCAGGGACACTTCAGAGCAGCCTTTCAGTACTCAAAAAGGGGCTTGTAAGAAAGATTAAGAAAGACTTTTTACCAAGGCCTGTAGTGACAAGATAAAGGGAAATGGTTTTTAACCGGAAGATAGATTTAGATTGAATATAAGAAAGAAATTGTTTACAATGAGGGTGCTGAGACACTGGAACAGGTTGCCCAGAGAAGTTGTGGAAACTCCATTATTGGAAGTGATCATGGTCAGGTTGGACGGGACTTTGAGCAACCTCATCTAGGGAGTAGCAGTGGGGGCTTGACTAGATGATCTTTGAAGGTCCCTTCCAACCCAAACCATTCTAAGGTTCCGTGGCTCTATGATTTTATCAACACTACCTGTGCTGAAGGCCACTATGGACCACTGCCCCACAGTGAAGGAAGCTCTCCAGGGCATGGCCACTATCCATGCCAGGCCATAAGCACCTTGTCAACAGAAGATGGTGTCCACAGCTGGCACATTTTCCACAATGAAAATCAGAGTCACTTTGCAGGAACAAGGACCATCCTATGACAACAGCCTGGCTTTTCAGTCTCATGCACACCACCGTGGGGCACTGCTGTCCATGCGACAGACGCTTCTGTGCGGGAACAGTGGTAGGTGGCCCGGCCTGGCACTACTGGGGATACATCACATCTGGAGGCTGCTACCTGGAACCAGCCAGCACAGGGCCACACAAAATTATGGGGATGCTGGCCTCACCAGTGCCAGGACACCCCCACACCGCAGATCCATAGGGCTGTACCGCAGCAGAGTAGAGCAGTTCACAGACTGCAGAAGGAGGACTTCCTTTCCCTCCCGCATTGTGGATCATGGGACGGCATGGAGTGCAGGTGTTTTGGGCAGGGCATGAAGTACTAAAAGGCTGCATGTACTGGTGTGGTAGGTGGCACTGGCAAGACAGAGCTTCTCATCTGAAGTACCCATGCAAAACCAGTCTGGCACCCTGACAGAGTGGAGTGCAGACAGAGCAACAGGGACTTGGCCCTATATCTTGGTGGCACAGTAAAAGGGAAAGCAGGATGGACCAAAATAAATCCCATCTAAATAGAGAGCAGAAAGAATCATGGGAATTTTCTGTGTAGATGACATGGGAGCAATAAACACCAACAAAGGAAGAATCAGCATGTCACACTCCCAGGACCTGGAACAAGGACTGCAGACAAAGCCAGTCTCATGCCAGTGTGGGTGTCCTTCAAACACTAAGTGCAAGGGAGGAAAGGAAATGGCTGAGATGGAGAACCAGCAATGGATGTGTTGAGGGTGCAAAGAGGCATGGTATGAATGCATCAAAGAAGGTGCAGGCTGCCACGGGGCTTCTCTCCATCCCAGTATCCACCTAAGCGCCAGCACCTTGACTGAAAAAGGAGCAGAAGTGGGCAGCACTGATCCTCCCACTCCTCCAAACACCCAGCTGAGCAAACACACACAGTTCAAAGTATGAGACAAGGACAGATGCACACATGACTCCCTGTGGTCTTCAGCTGTTTCATGTTGCTAAAGAGCAAAGTAATATTTCTGGGAAAAGCCAATTTTTGAAGCTCAGATCTGGATTTTCACCAGTTATATAATAATGGAATTTTTATCTCACATGGACTGCAAAATCAAAACTAAAAAAGTGTTTGAAATCCAGTCCAGGGCCTCCCTGGCTCTGGCTGATGGTGGGAGCAAGGTAAAGCACTGCACAGCTAGAAGCCAGGCTGTGGAGGCTACAGCTGCAGTGTCATCTGCTCCAAATCAGCTGCAAACCACACACAGAGCTACAAAATGGGGAAGCCAGAGTTAACAGACCTTCACTGCTCTGATCAACACTAGATACAAGTCTTGCACGCAAGAGCCACGGCTCCCTAGCATGCCATTCTGCTGCTGTGTTAACCAAAATACCACATATGTATTTGTTTAGGGACACTCAAGACAAAAATGCCATCTTCTCCGCGGTGGTGACCCCATTACCGTGGCTTTATTGTTGGTCAGCAGTGCCTGGCGAGGAATCTGGCAAATGCCTGCAGAGAGAAGCATCTGTCACTGCTCAAGCAACTCAGATCTCAGGGCCAACTCCGAACCAAAGCCACAGCAAGGAGGTGAGCAGTGTCTCTGAAC